TGTTTAATATTACATCAGTGTATCGATACGATATCGCAAAAATACCAAATGATTCCATTAGCGGATGATTTCGAGAATGAAAAACGAAATTCTTCATTAGATCGTATAACGCCGTGAACGATCCCTCTCGACGGAAGTTTCACGGTTATAAAAAGTTTCTTTCGCAGACGTCAATATCTCCCGTACATTAAATATTTAAATAATCCTCCAGAGGATATTATCATGTATCGCAGATAGATATATATACGACCTTATATCGACTCAAAGATCCCTGGTATTTCGTCGGGGCGCTCTACGTTTCAGCTTTTTCTAGCCGCTATTTGCTCGACGGGAAAATTGTCCGCCGTACAGTTCCACCGTACATCCTTTGAGATGGAAAAACAGCGGACGACGGAGCGCTGCCTGGAAGAGTTTCATGCCCACTTTATGAACCTGTTGTTAGGTGGGCAAATCTCGCTGACAAAGGGCCCTTTGTGCCGCGAATACCTTGTATAATACTAAGTCTCCTTTTCCGTGATGTTCCTTCGTGGTTTCGGCCTCGTGACGCGTTATCTTCGACGCGACGCGTCCCGTCTCGCGTTTAATTAAGAAGAAACGGCGAGAAAAGAAAAGAAAAGAATGCAACGAAAAATAAATTTGCACCGCGCGTAGCGTGAAGCATATCAGAGTCTTTTATTTCCACGTGGACAGAACAAACTCGAATCTCGATCAAGTGTAATTTTTAATACTGCATTTCTGTGAACCGCGATAATGTGTGTTTAAACGTACGATATATATTAATGGGAATATATTCGTGAATATATCCGTGTTATACGAAACATTTTGGAATTTCACCAACACCACAATTATTGTATTGGTAAAGCTTGAGACATATTTAATAATACATGTATACAGAAATTACAAGATATTTAATAGAAATATATATATAATACAATATAAGTACATGACTAATTATTCTATTACATCGATTCAATATCATTTAGCATACGCTTAAAATTTTGCATATTTTATCTTTTACTAAATGTACATTTGAAATAAATGTCTTATATTTCTTGTATATATTTTCAGATTTTACCAATGTAATCGTGATAGTTGTGTCTCACTGCGGTGTTAATAAAATTTTTAAATGTTTTGTACAATACACACAATAAGATTAAATATAATAATGTAATAACAATATAAATATAATAATTATAAATAAAATATATATAAATTAAATATATAATTTATTATAAATATATATAATTAATTTATATATTAAAGTATATAATATAACATAATATAATATAATATATAATAAATTATACACTATATAATACGTGTAATATATAAAAAGATGCACAATATCAAAAATGTGTATAATATTTATAAAGAACGCGAATGCTTGGTCCCTCGATCGACGTTTCGCGTGATTGTGTCACACTCGTATTTCAATACACCTGTATTTTAATACACCGTTCCGAAACCGCGATCGCCCAATACATTTACACACGGTAAGTCGGTTTCACGCGCGTTTCCACAATGAGCCAAGCCCGTTTAACGTCGGCTCGATCGTCACTGGCTGATTCTCTTTTCCATTCATCGATTCTTCCGCTCGAAGAGCGTCTTTGAGGTCTATTTAGAAGCGCTCTTGGGTTAAATGATAAAGCTCGGAAGTCGAGTTTCGTGACACGGTTTATACGAGGAGGGCAGACTCTTCTGTTCAATTGTTCGGTGACTCGAGCACCGTTGCGTTTAATCCCTCCGCTACGGATAACAAAGAATTTTTCTTCAACGGAGCTTCATGGCCGCTCCGCTGGAAACGAGGAGAGTTTTAGCGCGTTTCATTCTTGTTGTTCGGTACCTTTTTCAACGAACGCCAAAGCTTGTTTAATCCCTTCTTTCTTCTCCTTTTAGATTTTTTTTTTTTCCCCCTCCCTGCCTCCGTCCTTTTACTCTCCACCGGTTGCCTCGCCGTTTTTGTTCCACCGGTCTATCTGCCCGGTTTGTACATCATCTTCGAATTAATTGGATTTCCTTTCCCGTGGCTGCGCCGAACCGGGCACCATTCGCCGATTTAATCGCTCGGAAAGATGAACAAATTCGAGAGCCGCGAGAGGAACGGGATCCAACGCGACTCAATTCAAGGCTATTTACGATTTTTTACTGTCAACTCGCCGTTGGATGATTGTCAATTGGGTCAAGTTGCACGAAAGGCTATCAAAAAATCCTTAACAACCTGATAATCGAGTAAATTTTGCTTGAAGTTTTGAATTTTAAGAAGGAAACAGCTTTATTTCTAGTTTTCGTTTCTTTTTGCTGTTTGGAATAGTTTGTTCAAATGAAATTTTTCTATAAAGAAGTTTTTCTCAATTTTCTTTATAACAATCCCCTATCATCTTAAGCGTCTTATTTGAAATATCGTTACTTGAAAAATTAGGAACCAGTCGGTTATAAATATTCTTTGCTAGAAAACAAGAAAATTTAATTTTCTATCATCTTTTTCTTTTAATGACAATAATACAGAAATACTTTCATCTCTAATACTTCAACGATATTGGATCCCCCAAAGTGAAAATAGGTTTGCGTATCTTTTCTAAATTGCTTTTATAAATTGAATCATACTCGCCAAAGGAGTCCACGACGTATTATTGATTATAAGAGATCCGTACAACATTGAGAGATGTCGAACGATTTCCAGCTTCTGGATCAGTGTACGTAAAAAATCAGTGTGTCTGTGTATTGATGAGAAACATTTCATCGTGATCCGCGATACTCGAATTAATCAAACAATCCGAGCTTCTGTCGCGCTGTAAAATAAAAGACCGTCGATCGCCGAGCGTCGTCCTCCCATTACAAATCCTCTTTACACGAAATGCGAAACACTGAATCTTCTGCAAACGAGGCTAAACCCGACGAGAGGAGACGATTTCTATCGAACGCTGCGTTAAATCGCACGGAACTTGCGTTCGCTTCGAGAGACACTATGTACATACATATGTCCCGTGCGTTCGCGATTTTATATCGTCCCGTTTGATAAAACGCTTCGCCCCTGTCTAACGTTCGCGTCGTTATTCCTGCTGTCTTCGTCCGGAAAAACATCGGACAACGTATCGAAGCCATTCAATTCAACGCTGGCGAATAGAGAGAGAGAGAGAGAGAGAGAGAGAGAGAGAGAAAAGAAAAGACCAAAAAAAAAAAGAGAAAATAAATGAAGGAGGAGAAAAAAGAGAAAAAGAGAGAGATGATAAAACAAGTAACGCGCAGTGATGGCTCGATTTGCGATTCATCCTTCTGAACGATCCTCGAGAGCTCGTCCACATGTTATCGTTTCCCTTTACTCGTAGACAGCCGTGTGTGTACGTACGACTTGATCGAAATCGTCTGACTGACGGATAAATAATAAGCCGTTGTCAATTACCGTGTATCAATTTATACACGACCGGGCAGGTTTGTTCCACCGATGATTGACAGTCGCCGGCTGGTCTGTCAGATTGGTGTGTACAGGGTGGAAAATCGGTGGGAGTGAAAAGAGGGTTGGGGCGCGGGATCGCGGTGCCTGTGAACCCTCCCTCCCCCTCAGACAGACTATCACGTCACGTCAAATCCGGAATGAAACGGCCGGGATTACAAAAAGAAATACACGTACGTACGTGTGTACGTTCCTTCTCCCTACGGCGTTCACCGGTCAAAAGTCTCCGCGCCGCGAAAAACGATTTTGCGCGTCACGAGCAGAAATTTTCCGTTCTAAGTGTTCTCGCGGCGGCGGTGCCCACGCGTGACAGAACCTTCTCTCTTTTCTTTTTTTTTCTTTTTTTTTTCTCCCTAGCTATTGTTTTTATACTGCGATACGTTTTTATCCTGGGGCCTGGCGAACGAACGCTGGCATGCGTTTGCCAGGATATGTATACACAGGGTGTCCAGAGATTTAGCATTCAAATTCCCAGCCAGTGTACGCTGTTCAAGTGAAATAAAATATAGCGAAACGTTGAAAATTTGCTACAAAAAGTGCAGTTATAAGTATTTAATGTACACTTTGACGTTGAATCCGCTTTCTATGGCAAATTTATGATTTGGAGTGAATCTGCGAGTGGCGACTTTGTTTAACTTTCTTACACGCAGTGATTTTGATTCTTGTAATTAATTCATTATTTCACTAATGTAAATACGTTTGTATTGCAAATTTTTGCTTTCAGGATATTCCCCAATAAAAATGGTGCACATTGTATCAACACATATCATGAACATTATATATTTTGTCTCATCGCGTGATAAACTAAGAGGAAAAGTATTAATCGCTCGAGTGTTTAATTCATATTGAACTACTGTGCAAATGATATTATAATCAATAATAAAATAATTGATTTATTTATTCAAGATTCAAAGAGGATAACGTGTTATAATACTGAATGTGTCTAGTCACAAAAAGTTTACGTTCAATCCTTTCAGTTCGTAACAGATAATCTTGTAATTAGTAATGAAATAATTAGTTTGTTTAATAAATTATAATCAATAATAACGTAATTAATTTATTTATTCAAGAGTCAAAGAGTATAACAATAAATATTCAAAGATGAATGCATACATAATGCATTCACATATTCCTCGTAAATAAAAAAACTTTTAAGTATGTCGTAATTTCAAACATTCAAAAGAATAACACTACATTTGTCACAATTGTTAAGGTGAAACTTCAATCTTTTATTTTTGTCTATTATATTATAACACACTGATAAAATTTAAATTTTTAGACACCCTGTGTGTGTACATATATACATATATATATATATATATACACGTATATACGTACGTATTACAGTACGTATTGTACGTTTTATCGCTCGACACTTCAGAACGGGAAACGAGAAACGTTTCGATGAAGATTGCACGATATATCATACGGCGGGGATCGCGTGTTTCGCGTGTTCGTTCTTTGCGAGAGGGACTCGCGAATGCCAATATTTCCACGTCGGCTGGCACACGATTGTTCGAACGAAAAATGACGAATTCTGTTCGCTTACCAGAGTCGAAGGTCACCTCGCTGATCATGATCCATCTGTCGGAAAAGTGGAGCCTCAGCTTCACGTATTTGCCGACTCGATGATGCAGCTTGATCGTGATGTTTCTGGACGACTCGAAGATCTTGTCCTCCATGTAGGTGTACGTGATCGGTTCGCCGATGTAATATTTACCACCGATACTGAACAGTATGTCGACTTGGGAAAATATCTGAAAAAATAAAATGCAATTTATCGTTAGCACAACTGTTGACTATTGAAACAGAACCATTCGCAGTTTTCGCATTTTCTCAGCGAAATAAAAATATTTCGATGGACGAGATTGGCAAATTTATTCACAACTACAATTACGAGTTTTATTGATTTTCACTGTCAGTTTGACGCATTTCATTTATTTGTTGTATTATTATATAACTGGAAAAGTACCAATCAGAGTTGAATTACATCGAAATAGAAAAACGAGGGAAGAAAGATACGAATGTTAAAGTAAATTTCTTGCTGTAGGAGAAAGAATAACGGAAAGAGAGAAAGAGAGAAATTTTCTAAAGATCTTTGAGCTTTGTATACGATGATAGAAATAGAAGGTTTTCGTGTCAATAGGGAACAGCTCTGAGACACGTAACAGACAGGTAAAGATATAGAAAACACGCAACCACGGTTGGTTTACTCTTCAAACGACGTATTATATGTGGAATCCTGAAGCATTCTTGACCGTACGTTCTTTTTATTCGTGATTTATGATTCAATGAGAGCTAATCCAGAAATCTAACAATAAATTATAGCTTACTCCGATATTTTCATTTTTTAATCTTTTTCTATCAGACAGAGAAAAATTAAGAAAAAGAGATACTTGAAAAGAGAAAAAAATTGAAGAAAATAGCTATTGTTAAAGTGGAAGCCCGAGAAATCATAGATCTGTACTACATTCTTTTATTTTTCCATAGATTTTTCTACAAAATAAAAATCTTCGATATTATCCAAAGGAAAATTTAATCCTCTCACAATTAATATTAAGAAAATGGTTTCTGCCGCAAAAATCTTCGACCGACATTTAAGTTCATGGCAATGACATTCGCAAAATATGCCATATATTCAGAGCAGAAAACAATGCGTACATTTTGTCAAGAATATCACACGTTCTACTATCACGATAATGATTTGTCGTTCTAGACAAAGACTAATTCATTTAGCTCCGAGCGATAGCTCGTCACGATATTGTAAATACACATGTATTTCAGTTTCCTGAAACTTCGCAAGATTATGAAATCCAGATAAAGGGCGTAGCGTACGAGAAAGTATTTCCAAGCGAGTACTTGGAATTTTCTATTACGGCGACGATATTAAAAAATTTATTGAAAAGAATTGTAAATGAAAGAACGAACGAACGAACGAAAGAAAGAAGTAACTTCGTTCCGTGAAAGGAATATCCGTTCATTTCATCCCCGGGATGAGAAGTTGAGAAACAAAGTATCTGCATATTAGAGGAAAACGGAGTGAAACGAAGATCCATTTCTATCAGAGTGAACCGGGAGAGATTGATCGCGGTGGCCTTAGAACACATCGGAAACCTAAATAAACTGGCGTATAGACGAAATAAAACAGACGTAGACGAAGTGGGACGTTGATGGATAAAGCCCGGGCGCGAAAACCCGCTCTTCACCGAAGATTTAGGAAGAAAATAGAGTAGAATTCTAAAGAGAACGAGAGAGAGAGAGAATCCAGAATCTAGAATCTAAGAGTTTAAGAATCCAGAGTCTAGAATCTGAGAATCCAGACTCTGCAATCTACAATCTCTCTGGAGAGAAAAGAGAGAGAGAGAGAGAGAGAGAGAGAGAGAGAGAGAGAGAGAGAGCGGGGTATGACTGTTGAGAATGTTATATAATATAATATTGTATATAATAAAGTATATAAAATTTTAATATAATACAATATAAAATTAAAAATAAAAAATAATATTGTATATAAAGTATACAATATAAAAATAAAATATAAAAGTAAAATATTGTATAAGAAATATATAAAGTTTTAATATAATATACTATAAAATTAAAAAATATGTAATATAATAGATGCAATATTATATATATATATATATATACAATAAAATATGACATAATATATAAAAATAAAGAAATATATAACATAATATAATATAATATAATATACACAGTCCGTCTCTGAAGTTCAATAAGGTATATGATCGTAAATCAGGGATATGACCCGAGGTCGTAAAAAGCTTTACTTAGTAAGCATTGTATCGGTGAGCTGCGTTCATACGATCTTCCCAGTCGTCGAAAGACTCGAGTATTTTACGATGCATCTTCTTTGGGTTTTGTTCCCTCGTTTCTCCCCTTTTTCTTTTCTTCTCTACATTTTCCCTTCTCATTTCTCTCTGTTTCTCCCTTTTCGTATCGTACGGAAGCAGCATGTAAAAATATCTAGCGAAAGATGAAAATTAAAGCTATCGAGAGGAATAAAAAACTGCAGCCATCGTCGAATTTCACCGTTGACAAATGTGTCAAACAGAGAGAAAAAGAGGGGGGAGAGAGAGAGAGAGAGAGACAGAGAGAGAGAGGAAAATAACGGGCAAAAAAGGACCAATTGAATTTTCGGGACGGAACGGCCTGCCGAACGATAAAATACGAAGTGGATAATAATGTGAATCGCTGCGAATCGAGAGACGCGAACGATAATTGGAAATTTTGTTAATTTCCGGATACAAAAATTGCCGGACAATACGGGGTATACCTGGTGGAATCCGCGTAACGAGGTTGCGAAATCCGTCAGGAGTTGAAATTTACATGTTACGGGAAATTTACATGGAACGAGTTATCCGAGACGTTTTGTACATTACATATGCTGGAACTTTGTTTGATGTTTAATTTGGAATTGTCAGCTTTGAGTAATAAATTCCTTTTTTTCCTTTTTTTACTTTTGCTAACTGTAAGTAATTACAAGTAGATTGTGGATTTCCACATATCTACGAGAAATACGTGTAACATGCATAATGTCCAAGCTTGAATGTTTATTGCAATATCACGACGCGATTTCATCGACTGCAGAATATCTCGAAATTTATTTCTCATGGCAGGAAAAAGAAGAAATGAACATTTCTCTCTTACATTTTTGGTACATGCATGTGTTATTATAAATTCACGTCACGTTTTATTGTACGTTCGATAGAAACAGACTTTTTTTTAAATAATGAGAACTGTAGTTATCGGTCTTGAACGTGTTAACTATACGTCGCAAGCGTACGGCAATGCATGCGTTGGTCTGCGCATGACTTGCCAATTCTACTGCGACACTCGGACGCTTCCTTGGATGTAGCATAGTTACCAGCGGGAAACGACCTGAACGCGTGCATGTATCTGGCTTACACCTGTTGAAAATAGCTTGTAGAAAAATAAATAATATACTTTTTTCCGTTGTGTCGATATAAACGGGAAATCCCAGCTTTATGTCGGAAGCAAATACTTAAAGCACATCGTTTTCTAGTGTGCTGTATTCAGCGATCACTTGCTGGAATTTATTTAACCTCTTGCCACGCACGTCGAGAATTTTTTGTTCCAAAATTGTAATATTTTCTCAGTTTTAAGTATATTTAAGTATAAACAAAATAAATAATAAATTTACTTTTCAATAATTTATATGCAGTGATGTCACACCAACGATTGAGAAAAGAAAGCGACGAATTATTGTATACGGTCTGGTCGCTCATTATGATCCGCAATCAGTTGCCCAGCGCAAGGACTACAAGTTGCTCAAAACGAAGGACTATAATTACAGACATTTCGTTTTCTCCAAATTTCCTATAAATTATAGAATCTAAGTGGAAGACAGTGATAACAAGATTAACATTAAACGACCCGCAACTTCTTTTACAAGTTAAATAAAAAGTAAAATACTAATTGGAAAGAAATTGTTGAAGCATTAACTCAACGCTGAATCAATTAATGAGTTAATCGTATCTTTATCCCAAACATCTCACTGTAGCGTCGACGAACAAACGTCGTACAATATATACCAACACAGAAATTCCGACGCTCGTTGAAAGTGAAATCTTTGAAATTTCAATTCGTACGAAAGATTCACGGGGCAAAGCAAACCGGGCAACCACCGTTTCACAGGCTATCGAATTATCCGTGCAAGGAAAACTTCCTTTCATCTGGCGCGCGGCATACCAGCCGAAAGTCGATAACGCGATTGTCACAACCGCGGGGCAACATCTGGAGCGGATCCGCCGCTCGAATCGGCTCCCGAAGATTTCGTTATCGTAATTTGCGTCATGTAAATCCAATTACGAAAGATTCGTTTCAGGCCCGATGGGAGTCGGAAACGATATCCCAACGATGGTACAGAGACGAACGGAAACAGAGACGGAGAAACGAGAGGGAGAGATAGAAAGAGAGAGAGAGAGAGAGAGAGAGAGAGAGAGAGAACCAGACGTTTATCCACGCCACTATCGATATCGATGTTCCGTATCTGTCGCTTTGCCCCGGATGCGGTGGCTCCCTGCCGGTGGATTGTCATAAAACTCGTTTGCTTCACCCTTGTCGTCTCTTCGGCCTGGATATCGGTGACGAAGGTCCGTCGACACCGGGGCCGTGTATTCAATCGTGACTCTCTCTCTCTCTCTCTCTCTCTCTCTCTCTCTCTCTCTCTTTCGGCGAGAGGCATCTGTGGATGTGCGTGAATGGTGGAAAATGCGCGCGACCGCGCCAGGAGTCAGATGCAGAGAAACGGAAGCCGCGCGCGGCTTATCCGATATAATATACCGGATGAAGCGCAATAACTGATCTGGAAGCAAATCTCTTTTTTTACAGTACGGTTCAACGAAGAGAAACGGAGAAGCCTGGCCCGGCGCTGGACCGGGAAAATCGTTTCGTCGAAACATATCCGCGGTCCACGCGCAAACAGGGACTTACGCGCTCGAACAGCAATGTCATATCGTTGCATCGACGAAGAACGCAACCAGGTAGGTACGTAAACGATTTAACACTGAAAATATCAAACTCGAAATGATGGAGATGACATTACATTTTTGGTATGATTTTTTTGGAGTGAAACATAGGGGAGATCACCATCATCTGTCTCATTTTTCCAACTTTGTTTGTCACCAATTTTCGGCATCAAATTGACAAGATATTGATATTTACAATAAATAAATAGTTGAATTTTTTAAATCATTAATTATTATTTATTATAATT